AATGAATAACTGAGTAATTCTAAACTTGTTCAATATTGAGAAAAATGTGTCGACACTGTATATGCTGTGTTAAAATGTCTCTCCTGTCCTTAATGTGTGCATAATCTGTAACTGTTTCAGGTATCCTATGCTATTGGAGTTGCCCATCCACTCTCTGTCTCCATCTTCCACTATGGGACCTCCCAGAAGAGCGAGAAGGAGCTGCTGGAAATTGTGAAGAAGAATTTTGACCTCCGTCCAGGAGTTATTGTGAGGTATCCTGTGGTGTCTAATTTTAGATTTGCACACAAACATGCACTTATGTCCCCATTATACATATTTTACACATACTAAAGGTTTCTTTAAAATTATTTTATTTCTGCCTCAGGGATCTTGACCTGAAGAAGCCCATCTACCAGCGCACAGCGGCTTATGGTCACTTCGGTCGTGACGACTTTACATGGGAGGTGCCCAAGAAGCTGAAATACTGAACCCCCTCCTCTAATCTAAGGTGTCCCACAGATAAACGTGTGTTTGTCTACATCCCTCCTTCCTCCTTCCTTCCTCCCTCCTCCTCCCTCTTCCTCCTCACAAACGCAGCCATGTCACAGCAGCCTCTGCTACATGAGAAGACGTCCTTTCCCCGCCTTTTTAGCACTGTACACATCTCCTAGAGAAAACAATAGTATTTCAGATGCCAAGATATTAAATTGAACAGACATGTTGCTGTGTTCAGTCTTACCAGCTTTTCTTCATCTTTGTTTTGCTGGCTAACTTCCATTTTTGTTTTTGTCTGATTAATGGTCATCTAGTTTCCTGACATTGCTAATCAAGAGTGTCTCCATAAATCTGTATTAGTGACACTATATATTTAAACCATATTTATAGCATATTTCCATAAGGGCCATGTGGGTATTTACCAGTAATGATTGTGTTAAGAAAGAAATAAGAAAATAATATTCCTCAGCTTTTAAATTCAGAATCTCAGTGCAGGTTAAAATGTGATCAGTTGGCATCATCTGTTACTTTCTCTTTAATGTAATTTCCCATTTCCCCTAACTGTTGGGTCAGTGTTGATTCGCTTGACAAAAACATCAACTCTGTTCCCTTCACAGCTGTAACCCTCTCTATTTTGTTTTTTTTAAATTTGGATGGCACAAATGGGGTAAAACACTTGTTGTGGGCTTGACCCTTCAGTATCTTTTCATTCTTTTGTCTGCTGTCCCTTCAGGCCATATTTTCTGACGTTTTACAGAGAAGTCAGAAGCTGCTAATGACATAGTGGTTATGTTGGGCTGCATCTTGAAATCACTCCTTTTTTGTAATTGTTTTTTTTTTTTTTTTTTTGGGTTTAAATGTCATGTGATTGTTCCAAATGATGAATGTGTCAATGTGCTACTGACCAAGATGAAGGCAAAGGTAAAGCACTCCTCCTTCCTGAGACTGACTCTGGGTGTAGCTACAGAGAAACCCTGGCTCAGTCACCTCCAGGCAGGAGCTGCCTTTATCCAATGGCAACACCGTACTTGAAATAATTTATTGAAGGGCATTTGACTATCAGGGCCTAACAGTTGGACCAGCAAGAAATGATGTGTGCCACAAGTTTTGTTTTTGTTTTTTTTTGTTTTTTGTATCTAAAAGTGTTTCACTCGATCGCACATGATTTGGGTCCTTTAGTCTCACCTGTACATGATGTGAAAGGTGGACTGACGTGAAAGAAGACGAAGAGCAGAGCCACAGACAGACCAAGAATGAGAGCTTAGTGAATGTAGGACATGGTATTACTGCTCTCGTCTTTTCAGCACAGTTAGTTTTGTACAAATTTGGATGTGGAATCATATATGTTACTTTATTCTTTTTTTTTTTTGAGTCTTTCACTGGAGTTGAGCAGCACAATGGTTCTGTGCCAGAGACCCTGGTCAAATGACAAGTCCAAGACTTTGTGAATACACTGTATATGCCTTTTGAATGCTTCCCTGGTTGCCCTTCTCCTTGACTTTATTCCTGGATGTGTATCCTCCAAATAAAGTTGCAGGGTTAAGGCTAAGCCAGCTGTAAGCCTAAGTGCGATTGGTATTCACATTTAAAACCACCGTAGTTGTTCCCTGCTCTGAGCTGAGTGCAGTTAGTGTCTAAAAATGTCTTCATCGTGTAGCTAGGTGGCACTGTGTCCACATATATAATGCTGTAATTAAGATTTGTAACACTGAGTCTTTAGTTTGGCTCATCTGGCACCACCTTGTGCATCCTTGGCTGTACTGCAGTGAAACCTCAGACAGGAGCCATAGAGATTAGTCTGTCTCCATCATCCAGTGAAATGACTCAACCTCCCAAAGATTTTTTTACAATGTGTTTACGTCCTTTAGCTCATCCACAGATGAGACAAATGATTGGTTGGTGTTGTACAGAGAAACCAGCCTGTTTACATAGTCTCCTGTGGGGGAGTTGAACAGCATTTTTTTTCCTGTTAAATCAGTTTTTAAATGATTGGAAGAGTTCGTCAGTGTAGTTGCTCAATGTTTAAAAGTGCCTTTCTCATTTTCTGCAATGCTCTTATCCGCTGCCCCCAAATATCTGACTCCTTACCTATTGACCCTGGCCCACCAAGTTTCTAGTATCAAAATAATTCCCACTTCAATAATTCATTCTGATGAGTCTGATTTGTTGTTGAGTTTCTTTTTAAACCCTTCAAATAAATTGTACTCTTCCTCATGCTTTTGGCTGTTTATTTTCTTTCATAAAGCAGATTCATGTGATAACATGTTACGGTCATACTGTAGATTTAATCCAACCTTATTTACACGTTATCTTTGATAATTAGTTAACCGGTATATGATTTGTATATGGAGGTTCTCATTACACACAATGACAAATTGTTGATCATAACAAAAAGGCTGGAACGTGGTATTTAGCATAAAGAGGGTGTAAAGATTATTCCTCAGGAAGCTATAACAGTATTAGTAAATACTGAAATTCAGGGTTAGAAATCATTACCACTAAGATTAGAGTCTAAATATAACCAGGTTTGTGGTTTGGATTATTGAATAGAGAACTTCCTAAATGTAAAATAGTGTTGGCATGCTAATCTATGAAAAATGTCATGTACAGTACAGTGCTCCTTTAAAGAAGCATTTCACCCGTGGAAACATTAATCTTTATTGAAAGTGGGTTATATATGTAGTCGAAATGTAACATAAATTCTGAATTTGGTGCCTTGTAGGGAGGCATAGGGAATTTTGGACATTTGATCCACTTTGACGGAGAACACAGATTTTGTATCCTCACCCCCTTCTACACAACAAATCACGTGAGGGACTTTCTCCCTCCTTCCAGTTGAGCAAATGAACGATTTTTACATCATTGGAACAGAAGTCCAACACTGAAACTCTAGCTTTCTCCGCGTCCAGGCGGAAGAATGGAGGGGCGGCGGAAAATGAGGGAATGGTGCACGACCATTCAAAAATATGACTGGGTTTCTAACGATACAAAGCTTAATGCAAATGGGTGAAGTGTCCCTTTAAAGGTAAAAGAGAAATGAGATCACAGTTTCACAGCCCGAAATATATACACTTTATTTAATAACATTTATTCAGATAATTATTCTGAGATTATTTGAATGTGAATGAAAGATTACAAGACGAAACTTCATTAAAGCAGATGAAACCTTTAAACTTTATATATAGAACAGAGGTGAGTACAAAAGTTGAAAGAAAAAATTGATCAAGTATACATAAGCTTTCGTATCTTTTAAACATTCCTGAAGTTCAGATAATCCCTTGTCTTTGTCAAGTTAGACTGGTATGTACAATGCAAAATCACAAAATGCAGCAAGATATCAAATCAGTATCTGAAAGAAAGGCTATCAGGCAGAAAGCCACAGGTGTCAAATAGAAAAATGTTTGCAGCTCTGGGTCATCCGTGGGGGCACCGAGGTTGACTCATAGTTGCACCCTAAAAAGAGAGATTTGGATGTATTTTATATGCTGTTGTATGTTACATTTTTAATATAATTTTTTGAGGTTTTCACACCTACCTCAGCATCTTAGATTGTGTTGTAGTTGACAGGCTTCCAGGCAAATTTCTGACAGTAAAACACCGTCTGCAGGGAGAAGACAGGTCAAATCTACTCACTACTGAGCATTCATAAGCAAAACAAGCTTACAACTTGATAGCAGTTGACTTACTCCACATCTGAGGGCAGTCTTGATGTCTCTGCACCTGTAGGTTGTCAACGTGCATGGGTCTGAAAGTGAAAAAAACAGGGACATTTAAATGATGGTTGATAGATGAGTAAACATTTGCTGGTTCCAGCTTCTAAAAAAATGTGACTGTAAAGAGTTTTCTAACAGAGACCATTTTAACTAGTCAAACAGGCGTTAAACAAATGTTGGCTGCATTTAATTTAGGTGTACTGGTTCAGAGGCCTTGTGGTTTACTACTGGGATGCCTACATGGAGCAAGGTCTACATTGGGATTGAACTAGTGGATGCTGAAGGTGAAGCAGACTGACCTACAAGAGGAGCCTCCTGCCCTTTACACAGGTGCATGAGAGCGCAGATGGCCTGAGGGGTGGCGTAGCTCAGGAGGGCGTCCAGCACCGTCTTGCTAAACTTGCCAACAACGGCCTCGCACTGATCGCGGTAAGTGGAGGGCAAAATGTGACAAATCTCCTCCAGCAGTTGAATCACAGCACCCTGCAGAAGAAATAAAGAGAGAGAGAGGGGAGTGTACAGCATAGCATCCACAAAGCCAGCAGGGCTGTCTGGAGGAATTTAGGTGTCTACTTACGTGTGTGTCTGTGTGGGTGTGCAGGACAAAGAGATACTGTGTTTACTTGTGTGCACGTGTTCCTTCACTGCATGAGTGTGACTCACCTCAGTCCTTTCTTTTGGCAGCAAGTCCTCCAAAGTCTTGACAAGAAAAACGCAGAAGGTACACTGTGTTGTGGGCTGCAGCTGAGTGACAGACATAGAAGAAGACGCACAATGAGATCAAACTTCTAAAATTATTCTTTTAAAATGTTTTAATCTAAGTTGTACTTTAACTCACATTTTCACCTGTCACAGACACCTGAAGGGCCTCCTTGACAAAATACCGGAGCATCTTATCCTGCTTGTCGCAGGTGCCACAGAGCCCAAGGATTTGGCAGACCTGCGCAGGTTTCTAGAGAGAAAGAGAAAGAGATGGGACGATATGTGTTGAGATTAGACCTCCCAGCAGCAGCAGAAACACACCGTTAATATTTCACTCATAATAGTTTAACTAAACTAAAACTTACGATAACAGTAGAAATTAAGTTGATGGCCACTGGGAGCATCTTCTCCACCTCTTCTTTGCAGATTTTGGCAGCTGGTCCAGGCAGGTGAGCACACAGGCTTTCAATGTCACCCATGATCTTTTTCTAAAAATAAAGTGCTGCATTAGGTGTGTGGTCTTTGAACTCAGAACAATGGGTCTTGGGGTAATGTCCACTATATAAATCTAAACACCAGTTAAAAAAAGGGCAAAAAAAGAATATGATTATTTTAGGAGACGCATTATTCCTTCTGTTAAACTCAATCAAAGGTCAGAAGATTGAGATTTTAAGTGATGTCACTGAAACCAATGACATTATTTCCTGCCAAGATCAAATGTGTTATGGCAGTGTTTTATAGATGGCTCACTGAGTCACATAGCTTTAAATATACTGGACATTTAGAGTTCACACAACATTAAACAGGCAAAAAGACTGTGGGCAAACAAATCTCAATTGCATATAACGGCAAAGCCAGTAGCCATCCACCTCCACAATGCCACAGCACACAGTACCTCCCACCTTCACTAATTAGGAATGTTTAACCTGCTATGCACAAATAGTTTTGCATAAAACCTTGTAAAAATTACACATGTACAGTTATACACTGTTCAAAAAGTTTCACTGTACTGCATATTGCATATAATGTATATATTTCCATTATAGTTTTTATATCTTTATTATTCTTTTATTGTAATTTTACTCTTCTATGGTATTTGCACTACATTCCCCTGTGCTGCTGTGTCAAACCTGTATTTCTCCCACGGGGGATCAATAAAGGGACATCTTATTTTATCTTATCTTTATGGCTGATTTTACCTTTTACCTTTGTGGTGAAAAACAATGGAGGTGAATGGCATTGGGTTTGTGGTGTTCATAGCAAAGTTACATTTTACATGCATAAACATCTGTGTGGACCTTTTTTAAAGTTTGGTTTGAAACTTTAAAATATAGTTTTTCCAATGCTTTTTTCAAAGGTGATAATTCTTATTGTACGTCAAACCATCAATATAGTTTGTACTACAATAATGGGATGTGCTATCCATACTATATAATGGGTCTTGTGTTGTACACTTTTTCTCATTGCACCTTTACAGTTTACAGAAGCACTATGTAATCAATAAAAGCCAAAGGCAAATAATATGTTACTTACTTATTATATTAATACAAATAGTGACGTTAAAAATATAATCACAGAAAAGGTTAGAGGACCAGACTAGAGGTTAAGGTTAGTGGTGAAATGTCTTTCTATAAAGATGTGTGACTCAAAACAGTTGTTAGTAAAGAAATTAGCGTAGTAAAGTAGCCCATTTGTAACCAAGTGTTCTCTCTTTGGACTCCCATAGCCCAGATTAAACTTGAAGGAAAGAGGATCTTAGATGTCAGGTGAGAACAGAAACTTTCTGTGCAGTTTCATATCAACTTTATTTAGACGTAGAAAAGAAGAAGTGGCTTAGTACTAAAAAGAAAAGGGATGTGTGTGTGTGTGTATGTCACACATTTTTTGCATCTCTGAATGTGGCGAATGTGTTTGTTCTGATAAGACCAGGTGGAAAATAAATAGTGTTTTTTTTTTAAATTGAATAAAAACTATTCAACCACCGATCTTAGCAAGCACTTGAGATAGCAGAATGTGTATTTTAATCTTTACTTATGAATTTGGACATTCGCAGTATCAATAATAATATCAGTGAGCAAATATTAAACCTCTGGAATGTGTTTGCTGCTTAGTCGACTATTGTACTCACCTGGAGGTCTGCATTGGTAAGCATGTCCACAAGGAGTTCAAATATTTGGGTGCAGTCCTTGCAGACGTCCCCATTCTGAGTATAAAGTCAAAGACAAACAATGAGATTTATTAACAGATTTAATCACATACACATACCAGGTGTTCTAAGTTGTTGCATGCATGAGATACTTTTGTGAACGATACTTCAATTAAAGAAAAAGCTTGTTTCATGAGGAAGAAATACCTTTTTTATTGGGATTTTTGCAGGGATATACAACACTTATAACAGTGAGAATTACAATTGCCTTTAATAATGCGCCATAGAAGAATTAAAAAACATGTATTTTCATAAAGAGGAAGAAACACGTTTGTGGTTAAAAATAAAAATTCAAAATCGAAACAGCTGTGATATATTTAAAATCTTCTTGAAGTGGAAGTGTGTATTGTTGAAGAGACTTCCTAATTTTGAAGAAATGCAAATCTCAGGTCTCTCTGTAAGAACTCGACATTACGTCTTTGCATTTTTTACACTTTCATTAATTACAATGGTGTTATAATGGCACCATCCAAACCTCCAAAAATAGCAGTGGTGGAAAACTCTGTACATTTACTCAACTACAGTACTTAAGTACAATTTTTAGGGCACTTTTACTTTCCTTGAGTATTTTCCATTTTATGCTACTCTATACTTCTACTAGTATTGTACTTAATACTCCACTACAGTTATTTGACAGGTATAGCTATGAAGAATAAACCAGTGGTTTGCAACCTTATTGCTTGTGACCACTTCCTATAAAACCTCTTTCAAATGTCTATGAGTTGTGATTTTCACTCTAAACTTCTGCAATTGTTAAACCACCTAACTGTATATAAAATAGTTCGACCTCTACCAGCTACAGCTATTAAATGCAAATTACAAATTGATGCTTCAGTATTAACAGTCTAATAATTTCCTGTATAATCATATATCAGTCACAGGGGTAGAACATTTACTTTTACTTGGATACTTTAAGTACATTTAGCTGATACTTCTGGATGGATTTTTACTTTTAATGTAGTATTTTCACTGAATACTCTTGAATACGTCCACCACCACCACAAAATAAGGTGTTAAATGCATTATAACATACAATTTTAGCACACAATATGCAAAATGTTATCATAAAAGATATCCAGGAATTATTTTGAGATCTCTGCATTTCTTTATAATTTAATTTATATGTTTCTTGAAAATATACTTTGTTGTTTGGTAAGTTGTGTTTCAGTAAGTGATAAGTAATACGCATATCATATTGTGAACCTGCACAATCAAAATGTGTGTGTTTTGTTATGTTCTGAATGAAAAGTATCATTTTGTTACAAGAAATCAAAAAATCATAAACTTACTGCACTCAGGGCGTCTGGGACATTTTGCAAACCATCAATATTAGAAGCCGAAGTCAGAGCTGCAGAAGGAAATATTCACCATTAATAATCTTCACTGTATTAAATCTCATCACTTGACTTTTACTATCTACTTCATAATTCGTCATCTTATTATAATTAATCATAGTCTCACCACTGCCTTCAAGACAAATGAAGACAAGCAAGGCAATCTTGAGCAGGGCCATCCTCTGTTATTTTCAGGCTTTTAGTTCAATGTCTTCCCTCCGGAGGTCTGTACAGGGAACTGTGAGGGCAGCTTATATGCACAGGGCTCATCTGCCACATGTAGCCCCCACCAACCAGATTTGAGGGGGAACAAAACGACCTTATGCCGTGTGATAAGAGGTTGTTTTTTAGCATAGCGGAACTATTTTTTTCTCTGTCCCTCAATTAGTCAGTTTCATATTCAGTTCCTCTCACCAAAGTGCGAGAACTTGAAAGGCTTAATTTTAAAGACTCAGATGTGTTTGTAAATGTACTATAATTATATTTACTGTATGCAGTGTGTGCATTGTATCACATCACCTCATCCTATAGTTCACTCACAGATTCTCAAGACAGTCTAAGTTAGTGTAATGGTGAAAAAGGCGCTTGTTGTGAAACAAAAAAAACAGCAGCACAGCTCCACATTCACTCTTGTAGGACTGTTTAAACTCTGACTCACTATATGTACAGTGCAGTGTGCCCAAACTAAAGCTTAGTCATTTCTAATCTAGTTTTTGTTTGAGAGGTGAGACATGTGATTCCCCTTCTTCTAAACGTCCCTCTCAGAAATTGTATCGCATCAGCAAATAGTTTGTCAGTACCACCTTAAATCTCATGATTTCACATCTTCTGAACACACACCTGTCACACTCAGTCTAAAATTTGAATTATTCCGAATTATACCGGTCACAGATAAGATAATTATTTTATATTTTCAAGCATTTTTTCAATCCAAATCTAAAGTTTTTTGTACAAGCCATAACTCAGTTTCCATGGTAACACCCTAGGTCCTTCCTAATACCTGGAAGAATCATTACTCTCCCATAAGGTGCTAATGCAATGAAAACATTGTTCACTACTCAAGAATGATAGGGCGTGTGTACTGACGGCCGCAGCCTGAAGTAGTAAGCTGAACAGCGGACTGGATGTGGGAGGATCGCCTGTACAAAGTATCAGTGAGTTCAGAGGGGGAGTGTTGTGTGTTACTGTCACCATCCTGTGGTATTCAGAGGATGAGGCACTTTAGGACTAAGTTACACTCTTTAGTGAGATTTATTTATGATGTATTCAAATTTCAGCGTATTCATTTTGAACCATAAACAGACAGTTTCACTGGAAATATTTAGTAGGTGTCCTACAAACACAATACAGTTGATCACCTACCATCTTTTTTGGACATGTTCATATTACTCTGGCGACTCCTAGTGGTGGCTTCATATAAGACACTGTGACAAAGAGCAATGCATGCAACTAACTTCCTGTCCCATAGATCTGACCCGGGCGGAAAGCAACGTATAGTGTGCACCCGTGTTAATTGTGATAGTCTCGACCTGAAACCTTACATGTTAAAAAAAATAAGTTATTGATTGTTTTAATACTTTAACTTACATTGGTTAGGATTAGGTCTAGTGACAAAAGGGTTAGAATGCCACGCCATAAAACTAAGGTGGTGGACAAATACACAAACATTATACATGCAGGTTTGGTTTTGCTGTGTATCCATCCATCATATAGATTCCATCCATCCTTTCTAAACCATTCATCCTACAGAGCTGCAGGAGGCCGGAGCCTGCCTGAGTGGCATGGTGTACCCCTGACATCATATCAGCACAGATAGATTCCCATATTTTCTTTTTCAACTATTTTGACAGGAAAGGGGGCGAGAGAGTTGATGATAAGCAGCAAAGGACCACAGGTCAGACTCAAACCCATTGCCGCTGCAGCAAGGGCTCAGCCATGGTACATGGGGCGCCAGCTCCACCAGGTGAGCTAACAGGGAACCGCAAATTCCCTTATTTTCAACCCTGATGTCCTTCTTCAGTTCCTTCACAAGCTTCTTCTGTGGTCTGGTGGGATTCTTGTCTGCCTCCCTGAACAAACCAAACCTTGCATGCCGCCTCTTATCAATTAGTTCCTTGTACCCGTTCAGCCTGAAAAACCTCTTTGACTTTTCAAACAACCTCTCCTTGCTTGTGATGTCTTGGCTCCACCTGTGGGTCCTATTTTTCTTATATCATTTGTAATTGACCTCTAATGAAATGCTAAACACAAATGTCTCCTGTGGGCTTTCCCCTCTCTGTTAAATCTTTTTTTGTTTTTTAAACAATTTAGTCATCAGTTTCTACCTTGAAGTTGCGTGTCCTACACGGGACACTTGAAGTGTCCCTGATAAATAGTTCATACTGAGAAGTCTGGTATGTTGTTGAACTTGTCTTTTAAACCCTTAAAACAAACACATTTGCCAAAACATCGTACTGACTGCTCAACAATGTTCTGTGCTTGATGCACTGAATGTCCATGTTTACTACACTGTGTTTCATACCTGCTGCATAAAGCAGATTTAACTGATCCTGTATTAAGGTCATATACCAGATTTGATTAGATTCTGTCTTTTTTTCTATATAGCGGCTCAATAATAAAATAGAGAAATGAAAATGAAAATGGTAAGACATGAAGGCAGAAGTAGTCCTCAGTAGAAAATGTAAAAATGATCACATCCTCAGAAGACTAGGACACTACCAGTAGTTCCTATTTTAGCTTTTACTAGTTTGTGTTTTAAAGAACAGCATTGGCATACCTACACACACACATTTACATGGAAAGTACCCCGGTCCCTTCATCATCATCTGCTCCCTCATCATCAT